CCATCACAAATCAGCTTGAAAAGGAAGTGGCCACAGCAAAACTCAAGCTGATCATAAGGTTTGACAGCTTCTCATGCAAGTTAATTGGTTTAAGATTATTTCTAAGCCTTTTTTTCTTTGCAGATTATGGAAGCGGTGGTCTTCACGTCAAAGTGAATTGCGGGAGCGTCGACAGTTAGCCGCTGCTGCCGCACTGAATTCATTATCTCTGGGTCCTCCTATCCGATTTAACAAAACTGATGCAAGTTTCACTTTTCGTCTCCCTATTGTCATATTACTACCTCTGCATGGGCCTGCTTCTTTTTATTCGAAAAAGGTACTTTGAGGTTAGTAGTCTAATATCAGTTCTCTCTTCATATACAGCACTCAAGGGCGTGTAGTGAGTTTGACATTGATCAAGCCATGAGGAGGAGATTTGAAGAACATAAAAAATCATGGTCAAGGCTGAATATTTCAGATGTGATAGCTGATATATTAGTCGGAAGGAATCCGGACTCAAAGTGCATATGCTGGAAGGTCATCTTATGTACTCAGACTAAATCAGTAAACACAGAAACTTCTACATGCCAGGATACACAATCAGCAGCAAGTCGATGGTTATTATCAAAGCTTATCCCTCCCGCTGAGCATAGTCTCTTGGATGATAATTTGCTGTTTTCGGCTCCTGGCGTGTCGGTATGGAACAAACGGGTTGCAAATGGGTCTGATTCAGATTTCAAATGCTGTCTCTCAGTAGCTAGAGATGTGGAAGCTGATAATGATATGTGTGAAACAACACGTGGTGCAAGTGCAGTTCTTTTTCTTGCATCCGAAGGCCTCCCTTTGAATCTCCAGAGAGACCAGCTTAACCGTGTTCTTGAATCAGTACCAAGCGGTTCAGCTCTTCCCCTTCTCATTGTAATCAGCTCATGCAATGGGGAAGGCATGGATCCTGATACCAATTTTGTCTCCGAACTACGCCTCCAAGATATCGACAAATTAAAGATTGCAAGCTTTACCATCGTTTCTATTGCTAATAAGTCGCAGAAGGGACATGAAGCTCACTTTTTCAGCGATTCACGGCTTAGAGACGGGCTTAAATGGCTGGCGAGCAATTCACCTCTGCAACCAAATCTCCATCATGTTAAACCGCAGGGACTTGTTCTGACCCATTTCAGTTTCTCCCTGGAGTTGCTTATGCAGATGCCAGATCAGGAAGTTCGTCCTAACATTTGCATATCAGCCTTCAACGATGCATTGGAAACTTCAAGACGAAACATCACTTCTGCTGCTGAAGCAAATCCGATCGGTTGGCCTTGCCCCGAGACCATGCTTGTGGAGGATAATAGAAAAGAATGTTTAATGGTGAAGCGATATCTTCCCAACCTGGACTGGAGCACTGCAGAGAGCATCGAACCACTCAATTCTGTGCTAGAGAACTGTAAGCTCCCATATTTTGAAGATGATCTGACGTGGTTAACCATAGGATGTGCTTCTGGTCCTGAGCTAGAGAACCATACGCAACGGCTCGAGGGATGCTTAGTTGAGTATTTAACACAGACAAGCAATATGATGGGAGTCTCATTAGCCACTAAAGAAACAGGAGTGATGCTACAAAGAAACACTAGACTTGAACTACGTAACTCAAGCTACTACCATATCATCCCGAGATGGATAGAGATCTTCCAGAGGATCTTCAACTGGCGGATAATGGGTTTGTTTGAATCATCGTCTTCCTCAGCTTACATACTGAAGTCCGATCTCACCATGTCAGCTTCAAGCTATGCGGATAAATTCTTGTCTGAAGATGCATCATACCCATCTCCTCCTCCAAATCTTCCATTGCTTGACGAAATGATCCAAATCAGCTGCAGCCCCTTAAAGCCGTCTCCTCCATGTAATCACGCAGCCCAGAGAGTTATCGAATCGGCTCAGACAGAAAGACTAATCGAAGATCATAGAGACATAGACGAGTCGATGTTGGAGAAGAGCAGAGAAGCCTCTACAAGGATTGATATGATGATAACCGAGGATGATGAATTAAGCGATGAAACCGAGAGATCATGGAGGACTATAAGGAAAGAAGCGGCGGAGAAGAAGAAGATGGAGAAAAGAGAGAGTGAGAGATTAGATGAATTGTTGGAGAAATGTAACTTGGTACAAAATAGCATAGCCGAGAAGCTCTGCATTTACTTCTGAACTATCTTCAGCCCTTAATTGTTAATGTTTGTTGTTGCAGGCCAGTTTTTTTTGTCAAATTAGAGTACAAAAATGCTTCTTATTTGATTAATGATTTAACATGCATACATACATTTATTACTACTTGAAGAAAACCTGCAGAAACTGTTGTGACAAAGATAACTATCCTCTCAAGATCAGCAGCATATGAAAACGATAACCTCGGAGATGCTTTAAGTTACGTATCGATATTTTTGACTACTAAAGTCGTGCTAGTGACCTTTTTATGTGTCAACTACTATAATTACAAAGACTTTGGTTATTTTGGTGTTTTGAAAATCTTAAGTTCCAATAGAAAGACCCACCAACTTTTGGAAAAAAAAGAAAAAAGACTTCCTCTTATAATTCTGAGATAAACTTGTTGACTTTTTTTCAGAAAACGATTAAAACAACGTTGGCTGACTTTTATTTTCTTCATTTGATTGATTTTTTAAACAAAAAAAGTCGCCGGCCATCCAACTCTAAAATATACTATTAAAATTGAAAGAAGATCTTATTGAAATCTAAATTCACATCACTTTACTAATCTCTCTAATGTATACGACAAAAAAAAAAAAAAACCTCTCTACTCTAGTATATCTTATGTTCCACCACACGCACTCTCGGCGCGTGAACCAAACGTGCTAAATCGAGCGTAATTGTTCTACCATAAGTTCCATAACTAGTAACATCAGAAACTTGTTTTTGTTCTTCTAAGCAACAAGCAAGGTTTTTAAAGCAACATAGCTTAGTAAACACGTAGTTTAATCCGGTAAAAGAAGCTCATACACGAAAGAGAGAGCATTACTCTTACTTTGCTATATAGACGAATCTGTGAGATACACAACACAGTACACAAGAAACTAAACAAAGGGGCAACAAATAGAAAGCTTAGAATCATGCATCATCTCATTCATTACACAGGTTTTTTATCTGTACAATGATAATTGTGATATCATCTGTCCTATTCTCATGCTCCAACCACAGTTTGTATGATTCCGCTGCTGCTGCTGCGCATCCATCCCGCGGATCAGCGTATCTCCCCACCTACAACACACACAATTCTTAATTCACATTCGCATTCAAATCAACACAAAGGATTCTATCTTTATATCTTTTACCATATCAACAACGGCTTGGCTTGGAAGAAACTCGAAAATCCCATCGCTTGCAACAACAAAAAACAAATGGTTAGGCGAAAGATTAACCATCGACACTTCTGGTTCTGCACTAACTCCAATGCTCTCAGCTGTCGAATCTCCAACACTTCTCGTGAATGCGGTTCCCGGGTACATCCCGTTCTGTACCCAAAGCCTCGGAGGATCACCTCCTTCACTCTCTTCGCTAGCCCATGTCTGTATATTCGGATCTTTCAATCCTTCCACTTGATCAACACTAAGCACTCTAGCTCCACAAGCTTTCACCCTCTCGCATTCGTCTTTCCTAAAAGGCGTTTGATCGTAAGACAAATCCTCTGCTAGAATCCGATTCCTGTCTTTAACAGCTAGTACCGCCCTCGAATCCCCTACATTCGCAACATAAATCTTATCCCCAACAACAAGAACCGTAATCGCAGTAGTACCACTCATCGAATCATCGATTTCGCTATTGTGTAACTCCTCATTCACCCTAAGAAAAGCAGACTTATAAGCTTTCTCTGGATCCTCAAGCAAAGTAGGGTCTTCACACAACATTTCCACAACCCTCTCCTTAACGAAATTCGAACACTGCGTACCGTTAACGCCATGGCCATCAAACACACCGAAGAAATGAACATTTGGGTTACCTTGAAGCTCGGTTTTGATGCAGTAAGTGTCTTGATTCTCCTTATCTGGCGAATCTGGATAATAGCCTCGTTGAGATAACACAGAGTACACAAAGTCGAAATTACGAGAAGGAACATGGATTGATCCGAGAGGTTTCTGAGCGACACCATCTTTTCCCTTGAGGCCATTGGCTTCTCCAGGTCCACGAGAATCTCCATCTGATGATGACGATGGATATCGGCTACAACATTTGCATTGAACACAACCCATAACGCAGAAAACACCAAAAAAAAAATCGAAACTTTCTCAAATAAAAACCTCTGGGCTCGGCTAGAACAAGCAATCTCCAGGACAAGGAAGAGAAGGGTATTCTTCAGATTCAACAATGGCGTCGGAAAAAGTGTAGGGTTTTGCAGATGTCATGTTAAAACGCAGCAAAATCGAACAAAGAAAGGAATTTCACAACCACAGCCCGAATCTTTTGTTTAACCCCACAACGATGGAGAATTATTGGTC